GGACGTCGTGTGCAGCGTCATCTGGTTGCCGTCGGTGCCCTGGTTGATGGCCTCCATGACGTCGATCTCGCCGGCGTCGGGCCAGTTGTTGGGGTCCGAGAACCAGAGCGCTGGCCAGCTCGCACAGCCGTAGGGGGTGTGCTTCACGTCGAAGATGAAGAGGCCCTTGTCGTACTGCGTCTTGGACTCGACGCGGACGGAGAAGCGGCCCGTCGAGGCGTCGGGCGATGAGGTGTTGCCGGTGGTGTGGTCTACCCTCAGGACAGCGGTAGACGATGTGGCGTATGTGAGGTTCTTTAATTCACGAAGGTTGCATACTCAGCCGGTGGTTCCATATAGACAGTAGGTGAAGATGGTCAAATACCCTGCTTGCGGCCTCGTCGGCACCGACGTAGTGAACCATACCCCCAGTAGGATCGTAGGTATTGAAGTAGTTGAAGCCATCGAAGAAGTTTTCTCCAGAATCTATCATTATCAGATCGAGTGTTCATGGTCATATTTCAGCCGGGGGCTCGTGCGACGGGCGAGGACCCTGAGCACGGTATCGTACATGTGTCACTCAGCTTGTACGTCAGCTGGGAGTAGTCGGGATATCGGTTCTTGTTGTTTTGTGTGACGGTGACGGCGACGACAATGACAACGATGATGACGATGGCACCGCCGACGCCGGCCCAAATCCGTTTCGTCCATCCCTTGGGATTCCACCACGCAGTCTGTTGTTGCCCGAGGCGCTCGTTTGAGAATCCGTAGTCGCCCATGATGCCGCCGTAGTAGTCAGAGTCGTTCATGGAATCGGGGTACGGAGAGAAGCCTCGGGGCCAGTCTGGGGTCTTTATCTCGTCCCGGAAAAGTGGGTGGACCAGGACCTTTGGTGGCACGACGAGTATCTCCGCAAAAGGTGTCTTGCTACGATTGATATTGGGCGATACGATATATGTGCCTGGCTGCGCCACGAAGACACCTGCAGGCGGATGTTGACCAGGCCATCTCGCGGCCGCTCTAGGCTTCGGGGCCGGGGTGGGGGTGGGAAGCAACGGCTCTAGGTCGAGGGCGACGGCTCTAGATTTGCGCTTTGGTCTGGGAAGGACGGGTTTCGGACCCTTCCAGTACTCAAACGGAGTGTAGCCGAGTGATGTGTTTGGCCCCAGATTTGGAACCATCTTTTCTTCAAGCTGATACGCTTCACGTAGTTCCACTCCCGATTTTTCAGAGAGTGACGACTACGCCTATCATACGTAGTATGTACGCGTACGCTGGTGGACCACAAAACCCGGTCCAATGGCGACTAGCGGATGAGATGGAAAAAGGGATAGAGACTTAGAGGCAGCCCGACTTGTTTTGGTCTGCAGGGTACTTCGGTGGCCGAATCTCTCTTGTGCGCATCAGGGATCTGAAAAGAAATGCGAGCGTCGGGCGTGAAATGTTCGTATTATTGCTGCTGTGCCAGGTTTCGGGCTTACTATGGCGTGGTAGGTATGCCCAAAGCAGGCAGGTGACTCAAACGGTGATAAGAGAGGCCTTGCTCTTTTCTTCCCCTTGTTCTGTGGTAATAATAATAATGGTGGTGTAGGTAAAGCGGCGCAGTCCTCTCAGAGGCTTGAAGTGAAATTATAATAAAATATTAAAAAGGAAGGTATTGGTAACCGCCAAGAGGCGTTGAATATGCGATGGAGAAGAGATGAGAGAAGAGAGGTCTTACATGAAGCAACCGGAGGTGGGAAACCTGGAGAAATAAGCATCGATCGTGGTTCCTCACGGACAGACAACCTTTCTTTCCGTCAAAGAGGCCACGACGACGCGGGGGGCGAGACATGATACACGGTACCCAACAAGCAAGCAATTGCCAACTTTGCAATTGAGCTTCAGCTGTGCGTCCGAGGTATGGATGATCCCCTGGAGATCACATAAGTCAAGGGGGTGGTGGGTGTCAAGCATAAGGAAACGTGAGAACGACTGGCACCTCCGCGCGCCAGCGCCAAGCACGGGCTCGGATGTAAACTGGATGACGGTACCGAAGATGCTGCCAAGGTGAAGTAGAGGAGGGGGGAAACCATTAGAAAGGCGCCTCATGGGGCTTCTGCGAGGACAGCAGGGACATCTGACTGCCGGCCTTGACAGGCCGGGTCTTTGCGAGCGAAGATGGGGGGCCCGGGGTGAGTGAGGCTGGGTAGGAGTTGTGGGCCGGCCCTGGAGCCAGCCAGACCCAAGGTGCATTGCGAGAAAAGTCAAGTCCTGTCAAAAGTCATGCTGTCTCTGCAAGCTTGCCGATGCGTCTGGGGTGTCGTGTCTGGGAAGAAGCTTCTTGTTCATGCTTTAGAAGCAGAGACAACCCTCGGAGCATGAAAGAAGGGGTATGTGAGTGGAGGGGGGCCATCGACGGTACCAAGTGGGCGCCTACAGCGTTACCGTTGCAGGGTTCAAGAGAAAGAAGACGAGAAACATAGATGGGATGGAAAGCTCTGCTGGCTCATGGCTCTGGGCTCCGAACGTGAGGCAGTGCCAGGGTTCCTCGGTCTGCGTCGTTATGATAGGGACGGACGACTCACGAGTGAGATACTTAGATTGGGCACTACCCAGCGTCAATGTTCGAGGCAGGGCTTGCCCCTCAGCCGAAAAGGAGGACCGGATGTCAGGTTCTGCTGCAGTCTCGAGATGAATAGCGAACGAATGCGAGTGCGTTCCCAAAGTGCCAATGACCTGCCTCGGCTCCCAGACAGCATCTCATTATTGTCTTTGCTGCGCGGGCGATGATGACAGACGACGGTGTCAAAGAGGCATGATGAATCCGAAGTCTTGGCTACTGTCGTCGCCGCCGCACAAAATGGTAGGAATGAGCGAGACGGGGTTGAAGTCGATGTCGGATGAAGCAGCCGGCAGGATCGACGCTTCATAGCGCCTCATAGCGGATGCACGTCGACGCTGTCCGATGTGACATGCATTGGACCGGTAGTGACTAGATGTAGGAAGGACAAGGAAGACGATCCGGAGGACGTGTGGAAGTTGGAAGAGACAAACTTGACTTCTGGCGCCAGGGGTGGACTGGGCAGGGCACGGCTTAGAGGCCGAACCCCAAGCACTAAAGGGCTTGGCGACAGGAGCCAAGTTGGACCGTCCGTGAAGCCCTGAACTCTGAAGTCAACGGAAATGGGACCCGCGCAGCTAGTCGTATGCATTGCCTTTTCTCAGCCAAAACGCCCGAGGAATTTTGTCAAGTGCATGGTCTGTCTTCTCTCTCTGCTTGCTCCCCGAACATTTGATCCGATGTCGTTCGTCTTTCTCTGAATCATGGAATTACTTTCGCAAGACCCTGGTTTACGGGTGATGGAAAGAAAGCTTGGTTATCAGCCCTCGTCTCAAGCCGACGCTTTGATCTCAGAGGGTTTCCCTCACAGAACTTGAACGCGAGCGATTATCAGAAAGATATCTGGAGTCGGGACCAGAAATGAAAAGCAACGAGCGAATGCGCAAGAATAGACGGAACAGCTGCAAGGTATCCAATGTCTCACAGCCAGTCCGCGTACCTGACATGACTGGGAGCCGCATTGAAGGATCGACTGCTGATGTGCGGCGAACCATTTCGTGATTGATCTGCACCTGGGGATCCGCCAACTCGAATTCGGATCAGGCTCGGCTTGCCGCTCCTGCAACGGCCCCCAGCCCAACTCGTGGAACAAGATCGGGAGAACTGATCAACATATTTGACATCCGCGTACCTGTCCATCGGAGAGCAGTTGGAGGTGTTTGAGTGAACATTGGAAATGGGTTGCATACGGCTCGAAAAGCCCAACATGCGTGATGCGAACATGAAGCCTAAATACCTATAGAATGCGAGGTCAAACTCCGGAAGCCTTTCCGCTGGTGGTTGGCATAGATTTAAGCTTACAGCAGCTCTTGCCTCTTTCTCTCGTTCCCTCATCTACTATTGCTCTCTTGTCTGTCCCTCGTCTCACGATGCCTCAAACAAAACACCAACTCTCCTCACTTCATACTTCACGGTAACCCACATTTTGCTACTCTCCGCTACTGCCCAGCAACCCTTCAAAACAGTAAACTCTTATCTTGTCAAAACGCATGAACAGTCACATTCCTAGAAGCCGGTTGGTTCACAGCCAAGGCATTGGCAAAAGTCTCCGACTCGGAGCTTAAACCACGAGAGCAAAGAGAACCCAACTGTTTCAACAACAAAACCTGTCAACCAAAGCTTCTGGTCTACTACCTTGCCTACCAAGCTACCAAGGACAATACAGACTTTAATTATAGGCCCGGAACGTCCAATGCTCCAGCCACCACCCACGTTTCCCACAACACTGCCTGATCTTCGTCTCAACTATTTGTTTTCCCCCCTGGCTCGCCTGATGTCTTGAATCTTGGTTCCAACACCCGGGCCACATTTGCAAACCACCAATGACACCCCACGACGTGCCCCTCGCCGGCCACGACTGTCACTCCAGCCGACACCCAACTCTGACAAGTTTTACCGACTCCAAGGCCTGCCTGTTCAACCCAAGCAAGCAGCCAGCCCAACCGTTCGCTCTGAAGGTGCCAAAACGATTGGTTCCGTCCGTCTTTCGTCCGGTTCTCGGCCTTGTCTTGGAAGAGAGAGTATGAGTCTGCCGCAACCAGTCCGAAGATAAAAGTCCGCATGAATTCGTCGTCTTTGAAACAACCAGCGTCGCTACAGGAACTCATCCAGTCGGCTTCAAGCCAAAAAGTCAACAGAATTTCCGCCCTAAAACACCCAATAGAGGGCCCACGAAATCTACGCAATCATCCAATGTTTCTTCACCACGTCTCTTGGGCTCAAATCGATTTTGTGCATGTACTGCAATTTCTGCATTATGCCTTGCAATTTTGCTTTTGGCGAGGCTGTTTCCGATGCCCCGAATAAGGGCGCCCATCTCGATGCCAGTCCAAAAGCTGTCCCCCCACTTTGTCGTACAACGAAGCCAAAAAAGTCTTTTAGGTCGGCGATATGGAAACAATAAGAAAACCGGCCTAGTTTAATCATCATCCTCGTCTACTCGCGCCCGCTTCGGCTGCCGGGAATCGTCGTCCTGAAGACCGTAACCCCTCTTTGACGAAGAGTTTTGCTCCACCTCGGACAGGAACTTGTCCACGTTGAAGGGGTCCCCGGCGTCCTTTTCAAACTGCACTGGTCCCTCTCTCGCCTGTTTGAGATGTTTATTAGCACTGCCCTTTACCCTCGTTCGAAACAGTATACTAACCTCGACATCTTCTGTGCCCTTGAACGTCCCCCTACCCAAAGCCTCGCCGAACCGGCTGGTCTTTTGAATCTTGGCCATTTCCTTATCACCTGCTGCTTCGTCGTCCTCGTCGTCCATGTTGGCTCGCGGATTGTAAATGCTGCCGATGGCCTCTTGCGCGGCGAAGAGCGGCTTGTCGTAGTGGTTGTCCTCGTTGAAGCCGCTATCGAAGCCGCTGGACTGGTTGAAAAGTCTCGAGTCATACATTGTTTCCTTGGACTGGGTAGGTTTGGCGAGACCCAGGGCAATCTTTTCCGAAATGTCGCGGTTTTGCTCTCTTGCCATGACCTGGACTCTCCTCTCGGCACCCATACGTGACTGCCGAAGCTTCCTCTCCTCCTCGCGCATACGCTCCTTTCGTGCCTTTTCTCTCTCCCGGATCTCAGAATCCTCCGAACCGTCTGAGTCTTCCGAGTCTGAGCCGCTGTAGCTGCGTGACCGCGACCGTGATCGTGAATCCCGTCTGCCGCCACCGGCCCGTTCTTCGCGAGCCTTCTGGGCCAGCATTCTGAGGTTTTCCTCCTTTTGCGCCTTCTCCTTCTCTGCCAGACGCTGTTGCATGGCTGCACGCTGTCTGACTTCCTCGCGAGCGTGTCTGTCTGCGACGTACAGCGCTTCGGAAAATTGAGCAAACTTGTCGTTGATCGCCACGTCCTGAAGTCCGCGTCCATCGGCCGCTAATCTCTTGTCCAAGGGGACGGTGAAACCCTTGGGGTTCTTCCAGTTGGAGACCGGCGGGGGAATGCGCCAATCCTCCTGGTCCTTTGCCGTCAGCTTCCGTGGCGGCGATCTCAGCACGGGAGGTGGCGGGCTCGGCGGTCCACGGGGAATCTTCTTGTGCTTGAACTTGGGGGGCTCCATCGGGTCCCTTTGCCGCTCTACAATCTTCATGATGCGGTCCTGCTTGGTCGAGTTGTCGCCCATCTGATTGGCTGGCGTGTATCGCACAAATGTCGGATCGTTTCGCTTTCCGACACTGAGCGTCTTTGGCTTCTGGGCGGCCACGGCACCGCTGACCAGCGCTGCCAGTGCATTTTTCGTCTTTTCCGCCGTCGCTTCCACCTCCTCTTGACTCGGTCGGCTCAGGTCGATTTCGCCCGCGTCGGCGCGCTGGCGAAGGGGAATCAGATCCTTGAACGAGGTATGAACGATTCGGTTTTCGGCGTGGCCCTGACGCGCAATGGCCCCGTAGTCGAGCTTGCCCTCGCCGTCTACCTGGATGGCGAGCGCGTTGCTGGTCGTCGCGCCCTTCTTTCCCATGTCGAGCGGGTATTGAGCGATTGGTATTTCGGGGAACGCGCCACCGTCGCCAAAATCTTCGGGTCCTCGCGGTCGCCATCCTGCTCGTTGTTGGTATGGTGGAGGGCCCGATCGCTTCAGCACGATTTGCGTCTCGTCCAGCTGGCCGGCGCCGACGATACGCGGGCCGCGTTGCAGAGCGTGTGATGGAGCTTCCTCATCTTCGCCAGTGTACTTGGGTTTCGGGAGGGCCGAGGCCAGTGATGCCGCGATCGAGGCCATGATGATCGGCTGCCTTGGTGAAGCTGTGTTTGGATGGAAATCCGAGAGATGTCACCTTGAAATTCGCAAGGCAGGTTATGCGCCTGCTCCGTTTTGGACTAGCGTTAATATTAAGCGGGTCCGATGGGCAGTACGTACCTTTACGTCGCTCCGTCCGATGGCTCTTTAAAGCTTCATCATTAACCATCATCAGTCTGCTATTTGCATCATACATACAACCGACCAAAGCAGTACACTAGAAATGGAATGAATTTGGATGAATAGCTAAGAATACAACGTTGCGCATTCCCACCAATTCAGTAGACTGTGCACACTGGTCTCCCTAACCCTGGGGATAATGCCTATACCTCCTCACTCTCAATATCTTACCGGACAAAGAAGCATGATAGGTGATGATGCCGTTTTGATCTTTCCGCGTTTCCAAGCCAACTCTGAATGTAGCGACGGGAGCTGAACGCGTGAAAAGTCCATCGTCCAAAGCCGTCGATTCCTTGTTGGCAAATTGTACCTCCGTAGCTTGAAATTGAGGGTCTGTACAGATGCTCCAGATTGCATTTTCAAACGCATCTTCATGGGAACTGTCCCAATCGAGATTGTCTTTAACAAACTCCGGGAAGTTTCCTGGTAGAACGTCCCTGATCTTTAGCTCCTTAGTTTTCGCAGCCCTTTCAGACCCGTAGAGCACGGCAAAGGGCTGTTGAAGTGGACTGGCCCATCCCAACGTAAGAGTGAGATGAAAGGGTTCGTTGAAGTTACTGCTGATATCGTGGACTCGAAACTTCAACCTGGCAGCATAAGATTTATCCGGATTACTGGACATGAAAGTCGAATAGAATCCATCCCACAGGTATTCCGGATGCGACTCCAGCTGTTCAAGCTTGAGGGGTGTATGAAGGTCTATGTTGACATGAAATGACCTATGCCTCTGCCTCAAAAAGAGAGCATCCTCTTGGAGGCTTACATCCTTTTGTACATGGATCCTGAAAGTAGTGTGAATCCTGGATAGGCTCCATTTATGCTCGTACGCCAACGACCAAGGTTCGCTGCGAATGAAACCTTCTATCGTGCGTGCGAGGACAATGCAGACTGGTGTATTTTCTCGCATGCTGAACCCCAGATACATGACATAGGCGCCTGGTGTGTGCTTGTACAACTTCGTCTCAAACCGTACCCCTTTGTTGGTGAGAGTGAAATCGCTTGGTGACGCCTGTCTCATGCCGGACCTTTGCAGTGTCGAAGAGGAGCTGAACTCGCTTGGAGACCTCGCAAAGATGCCCCTAAACATCTGGCATCCCGCATATCCGGGAGGAGGGCCCTTCCACGCGAAGAGGGACAGATCGTTCGTCTCCCGGGATATTTCCTCCTGAAGGCGACGGAAGGCCTTGGGTCCTTCACCGTATATCATTGGCATATTGATGTCGAAAATACCGAGCAGAGAGTAAGCGCGGTCCTCGACACGTTTCGTCTCGCGAGATGCTGCCCAGGACATCTTGACCGCTATCGGAGTCTGTCGTAAGTTTGAGGAGGACTCTAAAACTAAGCGGCGTATGCCGGTAATTCTTTCCAGCTCATCAAGGCAATCGGCTTTCCGAGAGAACTGCTCCCATTGGGAATCGAAGAACTCTACCTCGCTCGGAGCGATGAGCTCTTGTAAAGTCCATCCTCGAGTGAACCATCGACAGGCAGCGAATGTCTTTTTGGCGTAGGGAAAGACGGACGTCGTTTCTACCTTTTCGACTAGCCGCTCAGACGCCGGTAAGTCCGACAGAAAGACAAAGCAGACGGCGGACTCCTTATACCACGAGAACATGGAATTTATAGCCTCGCTGAGTTCTACACTGCTCGACTTGTCGATACAACAAGTGTCCACCCACGCATAATGGAGGCCTCGTTGGCGCGCAAGCTCACAGGTCTTCTCAATCTTGGAGAACCCAGACTTATGTCTCACCTCATTTCGCTTGATTTTCTGAAAGTCTTGAAAGGTCACCTCATCGTCTGCCCAGGTATGAGACAGAATGGCATACTCGATCGATGAAGGCTCCGAGACCTCTTCCAACACCAAGCTGTCAGTGTTCACGAGCCACATGCTTTCAGGCGTTGTTATTGTGCTGCCCTTTGGGTTTCGGACTGCAAATAACAGCTTGCTGTATGCCGTTTCGAAACTGGACAGTGACAGTAGAGGGAGTAGCGTCAGTCGGGTAAAATTAGTGCAACTGAAGGTGGCCAGCTAAGCATAAGCTTGTGGTTTAACCGAAAACAGGCTGAGAATTGAGGTCTTCAACTGTTACTTGTCAGCCTAGTATCCATGCCAAATTTGGGGGGACGTCCAACATCGCTTGGCAGATGCCTGATTCGCCATACTGCGCCTCACGTGGTTTGCATTGTTGTCGCCTCATTCCATGTAATGCCCTCTTCTGATTCCCACCTCTCCTCCGTTCTCTCGATAGCAGAGCATATTTTCTTAATATACTCTGCGAAACCCTCAGATACACTGTCTGAAATGTTGTCATTATTGATTATGCAATTCAGTAGACCAGATGGTGATCACCTCAACACGTCAAACCAGCGTTAGTTCGGCAACACTCGCCTTCACGGCATAAACAATCGACGCAATAGAGGAGCTTCTCTTCTACCACAGCACGAATCACTCGTTCATTAACATTCCTATTTCGGAATCTTGGATTCTTTCCTCTACAGTGAGCATTCGGCTTTATCTACTTCGTGGCCTAAGCAATCTTTCGGATTGGCTCTACTCTGCGTCACAAACCGCGGAAAATGATGTTGCCCAAGTCAAATGAAGCGTCACTCCCGTCTCCCGCAGCATTCCTATAATCCCCTTTGCTATTCTGCACACTATCTTTCATATTTCATCTGCATACTCACACTGATATCTTCAGTAATTTCGTACTACGAAGAAAAGGCTGGAGTCCAATAACAAGCTTCCTTTTTGCTCTCACGCTGCTCTTACACCGCTGTTTGTTGCCATATATTGCGCTGGCATTTGTTCCAGCCATTTATCGAACAGTACATATTCCTCAACCAGCATTACCGAGAGCTTTGGTACCTTCATTCTTGTTGGAATATAAGGGTATAAATGGGGCAACTGGAAGGCGGCAAGGGCCGTTTGCAACGACCCTTCCGCACGTACTTTCACTTCGCAGGAAGTCATGGGCTGCCCCCATTCTTTCCTCCTACTACCTACATAACTACGCCAATGACAGATTATTGAGCTCGCACCGGCCGAAAGGTCTTGCCCTTCTGGAGGGTGTACCAACAATCCCAGCAGTTTTTGTCCCAGTTATGAGTAACGAACACGCAACTGTCGTTCTCATGGACATGAGGAACCAGATGGACCCCACCATACGAATCGCAACGAACTCTAGCATTCAGATTGCCTTTCTTGTAACCCACTCACTCGTCACTTTGGCTGGATTGTTGATAAGCTCATGGACTTACAATATAGGGCTTTTCGGTTTTTATTTTCATACTATTTCTACACTAGTTGTCATTCTATCCTTAACGCAGAGCCGCGGGTCTAATTGTCCGTGGGAGCTATGTGACTTGTGCACACATTACACTGTTGTCAATTTGGCTCTTTATGTAGTTCCCAAAATGCCTTGACTGATGAATACACTGAGTCTAAAAGTGCGATAATGTCACAGAGCCAGCAAAGCTATTGGAAATTGATGAAGTGAGGTTTCTCACCCAATGCAGCCCGGACAAGACTTAACCATAGCGATCCGCTCTGTGTCTGCCTCGCGAAGAGAACCGCAAGAGATGAAATCATAGTCACTTTCGTCGAAATAAGACATGCTTTTGGGACTAGATCGAAAGCAAGGTTCGAAGAGGTATGTTAGTAGGAACGTGAAGTTCGCCATTCTGGCGCATCGTGAGATCTTCTCACAATCTACGATCTGAATTCTAAGTAGCTAATCACGACAGCCACTCTTATATTCAGCGGCAATATATACATCGAAGTTCGAACACCGCCTAGGACATCCCCGGCGGCTCAATTACACAACGCAATAAAACAAATATCCACTACTGCTTGCGGCACAACTTGCTGTTCTGCGAAGGCAAGTTGCCCATAATCATCTCCGACATCTCCCAGCTCTCGGACCCGACGCCGTTCTGCGCGTAAAAGACGTCGTTGGGGTCATACTTCTTCTTGAGCTCGAGAGCCTTTGTGTACTTTGTACCCCAAAACGCCTGGGTGAAGTCGGGCTCGATGTAGTCCGACTCGGACATGTACGCGCCCGCGCCGGGGGAGACGTCGCGCCAGCGCTGCATCCAGTCGAAAGTGAGCTTGTCGCTGGCCGTCTTGATGACAGTCTCGTTGGCGGTCGGGTCCCAGAGGGCGGCGGTGATGCAGTGCATGACGGCCTCGCGCCACGCCGGATTGACGGCGTTGTCAGGGTACCCCGTCTTGGGCGCCGCCATCATGTTGAAGGCCACGATGTAGCCGCCCTCCTCGGAGACGGACTTGATGGCCTCAAAGGTAGCGTTGAGCTTGGTCTCGTCTTGCCAGTTGGCTCTGGGGAAGAGACGGCTGGCTTGGCGGATGGCGTTGGATCCCCAGGGCTCCAGCGGGAACGAGTTCTGCCAGGCCGAGTAGAAGTTGTCGTACTCTGTGTAAACGGGCTCGACGACGAGGCCCATCGCGGCCCACTTGGCAAAGAGGGGAGCCGTGAGATCAGCGAGCTCGGTCTCTGTCATGTTAGGTGCCCACCACGGGCCCATGTCGAAGGCGAAGGAGGTGCCCAGGTTCTGGATACGGAAGTATCCGTAGTTGGCGTTATCCGCAGCGTACTCGACGAAGCCGTCAAAGTAGAAGCGCAGCGCGGTCCAGAACTGGTCGGTGGTGAGGTTATCACCGCTGGAGAAGGCAAAGGTCATGGTGGTGATGTTCATCTTGGGCTGTGCCTTGACGACGGCAGAGGTGACGACGCCGTACGTGGAGCCGCCGCCACCGCGGATGGCCCAGAATAGGTCGGAGTTCTGGGACTCGCTAGCTGTCACGAAGCGGCCGTCGGCAGTGACGACCTCGAAGGAGAGGACATTGTCCGCCGCCATGCCGTACAGACCGGACATGGGGCTGTGTCCACCGCCCTGGACGTAACCGCCCATGACACCCACGGTCTGGCCCTCTCCGCCGACGGCGGTGACACCGTACTTGTTGGCAGCCTCGTAGATCTCGTACGCCTGGACGCCGGCGCCGAGCTTGAAAGCAGGACCACTGTATGAGTCCTGCTGGTAGCTCTCGTAAAAGTCAATGTTCTTGAATTTGTGTGTCCAGATGGACAGAGCACCGTAGCCAGTGGATTTTGCGCCAAAGTCATGGCCAGTATTCTTTACGACGAGGCGGAGGTTAAGATTGCGAGCAAAGTTGACGGCCAGCTGGACGTGGGCAACGGTGGTGGCCTCGACAACGTAGGAGGGCAGGCCGCCGACCTTGCAGTTGGTCTCGCCGACATTGATGGTTGGGGGCATGCAGTTGAGGCCCTCAAAGAGGACGGCATTGATGGCCGTGGGGTCTTCAGTGTGGTAGTATGATCCATTGACCCAGTTGGCGGTCAAGAAGTCGCACTTTGCCTGATCATAGTTGCCAAAGTCGTCGTAGCAGACAGAGGCCTCGGGGATGGTCTTGGTGAGAGCACCGCCCAGGAGGAGGTCGAAGATGTCCCAGACGATGCCGATTGGGTACAGGAGGTCTCCGGGGTACGTCTTGCATCGGCCAAAGAGCGATCTCTTCTCGACCGAAGATCCGTCCTCGAAGCCAAACAGGGAGATGTTGGACAGCTGGAGCGCTGTGAGGTTGGCAAGGACGGCATCGGTGAGCTGAAGCTTTTCTCCGTCAGAGAGGCCGGCGGAGGTGCTGGCGATGGAGACGTCAGCAACCTCAGCGGCCGGGGCAACGGTCGAGGCGTCGGCGGCTAAGGGATATAAGTCAGTTACTTCAGTCCTCGAAGGTTTGAACAGACGGTAGAACACTCACCAACTTCTTGGCCGTCGACGACGATCGTCTGAGCCGCAGCCAAGTGGCCGACAGACAGCAGAGCCGCCGTCAAGAGGGAACGCATCGAAGACATGGTTGCCACGTGGGGTCAGACGCGAGTGCTTCTGATGGACGGATGGGGAGCAGGAAGAGACGATTACGAGAGATGGGACGAAGTGCTTCAAATATAAGACCTCGCAGATCTGATTCGCGGTTCTCCCAAAGGCGACAGCGGGGTGAACGCGTGGAGACCGAGATGAGCAAATGGAACGTTGGACCGTTGGACCGTTGGACAATGGGAACAGACGGCAGAGAGGCCGAAGCGGTAGGATACCCGTTTGCAAAGGACGAGAACCAACATGAAAATGGCCCTGCTATGCCACCTAGAAGGGAATCGAACGATGGACGACGACGTATAATAGCGGGCAGAAGTGGACTCGATGGCAATAGTATTGCTGTACGCCTGGGAGGCACTACCTTATTGCGTATTGACGTAGGTCAAAGCATCCACGGTCCACGGCCAAGAGGCAATGTTTACAAGGGCTATTCTACACTATCCGTACGGATAGAACCCATGCCTTTTCAAGGAAGCCATAAGAGAGGGGGCGTGAAGGGGGCAAAGGGACAAGGACGAGGAAGAGCCCAATATTGACGGCCGAGACTTCTCTCCGGCGGATGCGTCGCAAGCATCCTTCGCCCGGGGCTCCAAAATTGGTCAAATGTGCTCGTTGATAGCAGGCATTGAAGTGAATCCTACCAGAGACGAGGCCCCGTTCGAGGGAGATGAACAATGCTGACCTCCTCGTGGGAGATGATGGGTTAGGGGCAATCCTGGAGGCGAGGTTGCCATGCTCGGAGCCGTTGCCAAAGAGTCTCATGGACTTTGGAGTAGGGACAACACGAAAAGTCACTCACCTAATACCCATAGAGTACTCCGCAGTCACAGGAGAGAGAGAAGAGGACCTGACCGGTCCATCAGACCTGCAGCTTCATCTCCACTTGGAGTCGGCACCGGCAAGGGTCCGGTGCGGACTGCGCGTCCGTTGAGTGGCTGGACGTTGCACATCGGAGCCTGGATCTTGGCAACCTTG